GTGCGTGATAGCGGCGGACAATCCAAATTCTTGTTTCAGTGTCCCAGTTATCCATTTTTGTTAAATGTAAAAGTCAGTCTGCAAAATAAAAAAAAAAATTAACCAGATTCATTAAATAGAAAAAAAGTTATTTAATTTTTTTTAGGTAGCGGCTTTCATCAGCTACTCTGTATATAGAAATTGTTATAATGTCATTTAACGTGGTTAAAATTCCATTTGCAAACAGCATCATGGCTTGCCTGAGATTCTTCCCTTTTTATACAAAAATTTCAAAAAATAGCCAATTTTTTCATTATTCTCATTAATTTTTGAACAGCTGTAACTTTTTTTCAACTTCCCTTCCTTTTTTTTTTGGTTAAATGTAGCTTAAAATCTCACCTTTGCAACAAGATATGCGATCCAACAACGAGTCAGTGGTCTCAACTCAGATTAAGAATTTAAGTCCACAGACACAGTTCACGTGCCAGTGAGCAGCTGGAAAATTATCCAAATTTTCATCGAAAAATCATCTTCATCATGAGATTTATTCCTGGCTGAATAGTTTCGTCAATAATCAAAATGTGCGTTATTGGCCAGGCAGCAGTCCACAAGTACTCCATGAGTCACCATTGCATTCCGAAAAAATTACGGTTTGGGAAGCGTCATTGGACCACACTTCTTCTATGGTTATCAATACCGGCACGTTACTGTGAATAGGAACTGCTATTGCTCAATGATTCCGAATATTTTCGGAATAATTTTTTCCCGAATTAGATGATATGGTCTTGAACAATATGTGGTTCCAACAAAACGGCGCCACAATCCACAGAGCAAATGTCACAATGGATTTATTGAAAACCAAGTTTGATGAACTTATTATCTCACGAAATGGCCCTGCCAATTGGCTGCCTTGGTCGTGCGTTTTGACACCGCTAGACTATTCTGTGTGGGGCTACGTCAAGTCTATGGTCTATGCTAACAAGCCAGTGATGATTATCGAATGTGAAATTGCTACAGTATCGGCCGATTTATGCTTGAAAACCGTCGAAATCAGAAATTTAATTCCATACATCATGACATCGAATATACTTTTACAGGAATAAAGAATTTCTTTAATATTCCAAACCGTTTTGATTTTGTATCACTGATTTAATATATATAATATAGTTAAATTTAGGCAACCGTATTGTATCTGAATTGAATTTAATTTTAATATTTTAATTACATACATGATTGTAATATTTTTATTTAAAAAAATGTGGTTAAATGAATTATGTTCTTATTTTAATTTTCTAGTATTTAAAAGTGAAAGTATAGTGATACATTCTGATTCCCACCTGCCCAATAATCATAAGAAAACTGCAAACGACCACTCTTTAAATAGTAATCTGTTTGCGGAATCAACTGTACCAATGATTGCAACTCCTAGCCCACTAACAGTAATATCTACACGGTAAGATTATTTTATAACCATAGATTTTTTGTTAAATAATAGTAAGTACATTTTTAGGAAACGAGAGCCTGTAATTAAGCAACTCAACCCACTTACATTGAGCAGTAATGTAGGTGACCAAATGAGTACGATTGGTGCACAACATGGTAATGAAAATCATAAAGGTGAATTTAGGAACAATGTGGCATTATTTAATCAACGTCAAAAGTACATTAATAAATATGAACTGCCACAATTGCATTCCGCTGGCGGGGTAACCACAAGTACTTGTAATACTATAGGCTACAAACCTGTAGAAATAATGGAGGAACCTGCTAAACCACGTCGTTGGGAACAGAAGCAAGTGCAAATAAAAACGATGGAAGGGGAATTTAGTGTAACAATGTGGGCTTCCGGTAATTCCGACGACGACATTTCAAATCCAGATCATGAGGCAGATTATCAAGATTTTATATCTTGTGAGGAACAAGAAGTGGATGAAGACTGTGACATTCCTGATCCTGTACAGGGACTTGTGTCTACTATCAATAGCAATGATTTCCAACAAGAGCACTTATTGCATAGGCAACTAATCATACAGCAGCACGAGCTGCACTCCTCCCAAGTTTTAGTTCGGAATACAGTCGATTCTGGAGATGCGTCAAATCCTGCAAATGATAGATGTGGCACAAATTCATCCACAATAATAGGGTTAGATACATCTCCTCATCCGCAGTTATCTGAATATGCTGGACCTAGCAACGTAGACAATAAATTAAGATGTAAAAAGACTGTAGCAAATAATAAGACCGACCCTTATGTCACGTCAAATGAAGAAAATGCCAAAAATGTAGTTTTGCCAGTTTCGCGAGCAGGTGTATTGGCCGCACCACTTATTCATCCTGCCAATACCGCTGTTATTACCATGACTAGTATGAATAGTGGCAGCTTATCAAATGCTTTGCCAGTAAGTGTTGTCGTGCAACAAAATCCACAAGTTGTTTCAACTTCACCACCGCCTTTAAGCTATAGTAACAAAATTAATACAGCGGCATCAGAAAGTAATTGCAATGGCCCTGGCGAAAAACGTATTGCTTGCCCTCAAAAAGGATGCTACAAGTTTTTTCGTGATAATTCAGCAATGCGTAAACATTTGCATACACACGGCCCGCGTGTTCATGTCTGTGCCGAGTGTGGAAAAGCTTTTGTTGAAAGTTCAAAACTGAAGCGCCATCAGCTGGTACATACTGGAGAAAAGCCATTTCAGTGCACATTTGAAGGTTGTGGAAAGCGTTTCTCGTTGGATTTTAATTTAAGGTAAATAGTGATTTTGCAAATATATTATTTTTTTCAATATGTTGCACAATATTGTAATAATTTTGTTAACATAAGGGTTGTTCATAATAATCAATATAATTCAGTTAGCTGATGATGATTAAGGTATCGAACCGAATTTGCCACCTTAAATGAAACCAAGAAAAATCGCTCAGCATTTCGGCTTGGAGTTCTTCGAGCTCTTGCTTTAACATACCTCCAGAGAAAATAATTTATAGGCGTTAAATCCAAAGATTCTTTATTCACCAAACTTTCCCACAAAGTGTCCACATATAGACGTGAAACATTAAGCTACGCACCGTCTTGTTTGAATTAAAGATAGTTCGCGTCGATTTCATCAAATGGTTACGGCATTTCCTGCCTCAAGGTGCTCACACCCGATGATGCCGCCATACCACATTTTGCACCATACGGTACATTTTTGTGAATACAATTGCGTTACCTTAACCACACGGAGATTAGACTCATCCCAATAGCGATAATTTTCTTGGTTGACGAATGAATTGACCTGAAAAATTTATTTTTCGGATAACTTAAATTTGCGAAATATTCTTAGATCATTACCAAGCATTCTACCAAAGAGAAAGAAAATAATGAAATGGCAACCCTTACAAAATTTGACGCACATGGCCGCAACGTGATTTCGTCATCCCTATTGGAAGACGATGTACAAAAGATTACTTACAAGAACTTAGTGCTTAGAAGCTATATGTTATAGTGCTATGATTTCTTCGAAACCGTAGGCTCGGGTAATAATCTGTATGATTTTCGAGAATATATCTTTTTAACTATAAAAAATGTACAAACAAGTACTGAACTTTGATCGGTCAATTGGTATATGAACTATCTTATATATAAAAGAGAAATGCCCGAACCACAGCACGGAAGACGTAAAAATATGTACGGATAACCTTTTAGTAATGAAGAAGGTCCCAACGAGGGCCTTTCGATTTCGCACTTTCGGTTTGTATTTATAACTCAAGAATGTCTGAACGGATTTGGCTGAAAATTGGTGATGAGGTAGCTTAGAACCTCGGGACGGGCATAGGTTACTTTCTATCGTTTTATGTTAAAAGTCACAACAATTCATAAATAAAAAAATATATTTCCAAACATAAGCATGTGTTCATGTAAGAATATTTAATTTTTTTAGTGCAAACTAAAATCACACAGCTACTGGCAGGGTACAGGGGTTTTTGTTTACATATACATGCTATATATGTGAGATGTGCATAATAGCAGTCAAATATTGCTGAAGCATTGCAAAGAACAATGCAATATTTAAAAGGAACTATCAAGTCTGTATTTTCTTACGTGTAGTATCTGGGTTTTAGCCTTCGATTTTGCAATTACATTCGATGAATTTTGGACAAAACATTAAGGCGTGAGACGCGCTCTCTTTTGCCCTACTCCTGCACTGTTATTCATTATAACAAGAAACGTATATGTGTAACGATATATGATGCAGATGCAGTGACTGTGAAGATGTTCTTACATCATACATATTTATGTATGTACTATTCCTTAAGTGATTTACGATGTCAATAAAAAATGTAGATTACCAATTTAACTATTCCATTATATTGTTATCACCATAAATGATATCGTTGAGAACATAAAGCGAGCGAAGCGTGGTATGCTACTATTCCGCACTACAGGTGGTTCTACGCACCGGAATTGACTAGGATTTCTTGCGACCAAGGGGTGTTTTTTCAGCGATCCAACCACGTCCATCCAAACGCAACCACGGTCAGGTCGTAATACGTGCAATGGATGTAGCCATCTTAAGACTTGCTCAAGCCTTAAGACTCACAGGGAGTGGACCATGAGTTACGTGGCCCTATGCTGTCTACGCAATACTGCGACACTAGCCTCTACGGCGGTGCAATCTGCAATAGTTAGCGCGCCGCGCCGCCACTCACCCCTATTGGCCAACAGAGGACCTCCACGGTCAAGCAAGTAACATAGCACCCACACTGTCAAAGCTTTATCTAATCCGAAGAGACATGATGACCGAATTGAAGTTCAATTCAATGGTCATTCCTCTTCGGACTCGAAGAAGTGCGCGAGATATTTTAGCCGGCAGTTTACTCTGCACTCTTCGGTAGACAAAGCGATGTGTTAACCGACGGCTGTGAAAACTGCCGAACGACTGCGCGCCACTAACTTTCACCGATGAAAAGGTTCAGAATGTCAACAAATCAAAATCTTCTAAATCCACTGGCTCTGACGGAATGAACATGCTCATGCTAAAACATCTAGGCTCGACGAGAGGAAGCTATTTCACCAAGGTAGAGGACCTGTCGCTGACCCCTCTTTAAATACCCGAAGTGTCGAAAGTCGGAAGAGTGGTCCCACTTCTGAAACGTAGGAAACCCGCCAACACAGGGGAATCCTATCGTCCGATAACTCTCCTCTCCCCAGTAGTGTTAGACACTTGAGGCCTTGCTACTCCCGACCTGCACTCACCACCTGAGCCTAGCCAGCCACTATCATGAATTCCGATAAGTGCGCAGCACTTAGCGTCATAAACGCTCAGATAGTTCGTGGCATCAACCAGAAACCACCCTGTAAGTAAACGATCCTCATATCGTTGGACCTATCAAAAGCTTTTGACACGGTCAACCACACAAAGCTACTGCAGGACTGAAGAGGTGGACCATGAACTGCAGGACATTGAGAAAACCACGCTTCCTCCAGGGCTCAAGAGGTGGACCATGAATTATCTGAGCGGTCCTCAGTCATCCGTACTATTTCGAGGCGCAACCTCTAAACTGAGAAGAATTAAACACGGGATTCCGCAGGGTGGTGTCCTCTCCCGCTACTGTTTAATTTCTACATCTCAAAACTCCGCAACCACCAGAGGGGGTTTCCATAACCTCGTACGCTGATGACTGTATGATATTGACGTCGGGCAATGGAATCGATAGCGTGTGTTCGAAGGTAACAACTACCTCTCCGACCTTTCTCGTTTCCTCACTGCACGGAACCTCCAACTTTCCCCTACCAAATCCACAGCGACCATTTTCACGAACTGGACGAAGGAGTATAGACTGGAACTTAATATTGCACTCGACGGCGTCAAAATTCCGACTGTTAATAACCCTAAGATTGTAAGTATCACCTTCGACAGTCTATGCTCCTTCTCTACACATACGACCGCGATTATCGCCAAGGTACAGAGCCGCAACAAAATCCTCAAGTCGCTAGCCGGCAGCACATGGGGAAAAGACAAAGAAACGTTGTTGGCAATATATAAGGCAATCGGTCAGCCGGTCCTCAACTACGCAGAACCAATATGGTGGCCTAGATGCAGCGGTGCGCAGATGAGGAAACTCCAGATCTGTCAAAATAATGCACTCCGGACCACGACGGGATGCCTCTTGATGTTTCCCATTGAACACCTACATAGTGAGACACTACTTCTCTCAGTTAAGAAGCATAATGAACTTCTCTTCAAGTAGTTCCTGCTGGGATGTTTCCGTGGAAATCACCCTTGCAGTCCCCTGCTTGGAACGTAACCGTCTCCTAGGAGCATCAAAACGTTTTTCCTTGACTGCGTCGACGACGTCGTACAGTACGCCGACCGGACTTCGGACGCAACTGGCTTTCGACAGGTACTGACCGCCATTCACAGTGGAGCCATCAACACCTTCACCGACTCTCTTCCCGTGAATGGCGTTTTTGGAGTCAAATCACCACCTATCGCAGACGAAGAGCTCCAGTTGCCGCCAGAAACGCGAGTGACCCTAGCGCAACTTCGTTCTTTATATTATAGCAGGTTAAACTCCTACTTATCCAGAATTTACCCTGACATCCCCAATATATGTCCTGCACGAGTCCGCGTGTGATACTGGCCACGTCTTTGCATGCAAACCCCACTCATCTAACACTTTCCTCCCTTTGGTCCGACCCCGTCGAAACAGCACGTTTTATGAGCCTCCCGTTAGATGACGTCGATGACAATACAGATAACCCCTACCAATGTAGCCAGGATTGAGAAACCGTTAACACAACAACAACAACATCAACTAGTACGGTACATTCATCCGATAGTAATGTACCTGACAGCAGCTGTTTACTAGAAAAGGCCATTGCAAAATTTTAGATCGATATATAAAACACCGAGTGACTAGTTACATATACAGACAGACAAACGAACTGACATGGCTAATTTGATTCAGTTCGTTGTGCTGATTATATACTATATAGTTTACAGACTGTTATGTTGTGCTTGTAAGACACTTCCATTATGTTTTCAAACGGGCCATACTTTTTGTTACGAGGCCTACAAATCGTCAAATTTCGAGTAATTGAAAAACCAATATTTTTCCATACTTTAGTAAAAATAAGAGTGGACAGTCTGTTAATATCAATATAGACCGAAAGTAAATAAAATTATACATCATTCTTCATTTTCTCACATTAATAAATAAACTTGTAAATACATGTATTGTTTTGCGTTTTTGTTTTACAGAACCCATGTGCGAATTCATACGGGCGATCGACCATACGTTTGCCCTTTCGATGGTTGTAATAAAAAGTTTGCGCAGTCTACAAACTTGAAATCACATATTTTAACACACGCTAAAACTAAGTAAATATATTTTTTAGTATACCTTCATTTAATTATTTCCTCATCATATTATAGGCGAAGTTCTCTCGGTGGTAATTGCAGTAATATTAATAATGATTCCAGCAGCCCAGCGCAGTTGGCTACTCAAAATCTTATAAAAGTTGAAATGAACGAAATTGATTCCAACTCCTCGTACGTTGTTTACACTGATTAATATATTTTTCACATCATAAAAACAAGCAAACCAATACATACTGTTTTTTCTAACAGAAATCATTTAATGTAAACATCTTTACTAAATCTCTATGAAAATAAGAGGTATTCCATAGAAGATGTCGCTGTCTTATTTTAATATTATTTATTTTAGCATGAACCATTTTTTGTATGAATGATTTGAATGAAATATTCTGTGCTTTGTTAATAACTTTATAAATTTATTTTAAATAGGTTACCTTACTAACTGTCTGAAATGACCATAATCATTTAATTGAATAATAATTTGTATGTAATATTAACAAGCCGTTTGAATTGTATGAATATGCCTCTTAAAATTTATAAAGTTTTACTGAGCATTTCTCTAATTACCTGGAATATTTACATATTAAGCAATTTTTCAACATGACATGTATGTATGAAAAAGAAATAGAAATTGTGTGTGAATTAAAAAGCTGTATTTTTTTAGTTCAGTATTGCATTTATTTCCAAAAGAGGTAGTAGGTGTCATGAATTTTAATATTATTGGTTTGATATTCGAAACAGAATTTGTATCGGTTTTGGGTGTCACGGAAACAAATTTTATCGGTTTTGCTAACAGAAAGAAAGCAAGATGAATTACTTTTACTTAATTATGTCGAATTAATTTATTTCTAGAGGAGAAAAGATAAGTATAAATCACGAAATGTCTTAATTATCGAGTTTTTGGAAAAAAAAATCCGGATATTTAACGATATTAGATTTACAAAACGTAATATGATAAATGTTAACAGTTAAAATCTTTCTTTAATTCGGAACTCATTAAAAACTTCAATAGGATTGCTTCCAAATGTATTCATTTACAAGTTTTGTCACATTAGTAAACAGCTGATTCGAATCGGAATCAGAATTGCAACCGATCAAAAAAACTAGTAGGTGTCATGTATTATTGGTTTGATATTCGAAACAGAATTTTTATCGGTTTTACGTGTCACGGAAACCAATTTTATCGGTTTTGCTATCAGGAATAAAGCAAGAAGATAGTCACTCACAGATTTCAAATATATGTTAAAAATTCAAGTTATTTTATTGTTTCGAATTAATTTATATTTATTTCTATAGGGGAAAACATAAGTATAAAACACGAAATGTCTTAATTATAGAGAATAGATATTAAATTTACAAAACGTAATCAACGTAATTTAGCACCCAAAAGCGTCTTTATTCATTCGATAAATGTTCAGCCCGATTCTGCATTTCTATTACGTTCCCGCATTCCGCTCCGCATCGATTGGAATTAGGTAGTCCGAGTTACGATGGAATCGAAAGAAAAAGAGGAAGAGCGATAACCTTTTCGAAATCAGATGTTTGCCTTGGAATGTGTGAAATTGAAACATAATAAAGCAAACAGATACAAATTTGTGGAAAAACTATTGGTGCTTAAATAAAATAAATTAAATATATAATTGCGTAATGGAATCGATAGCCGCGGCGATATTTCTTGAGGAGGACGGCAACGCATCCGAGAACGCCGACGCGAAAGTTGAAAGGGGAAGATTGATTGAGATCCTTTTCAGATGAGTGACGAATTGTAAGAAATTGAGTTTGAAAGTGATAAATCTTAATTCATTGATATACTTATTTAGATTCAAAAAAAACTTTAGATTTAATAAGGATGCTTTCAAGTATGTCCTAGATACTTTTGCGGAAGAAACTCAACAAAGTACTTTGACGTCATCATCTCCGCTTAATCGCGTAGTGGCTGCTTTGAGATTTCTTGCGGAAGGCAGTTACCAACATGAAGTCGGAGTTAAAGATAATTGAAACAAAAAACTTAAAAAAAAAGTTCAGGCAAAAAATTTAGGTTTTTTTTTTACTAAATTACTTCGAATCTGATTTATAATTTGGATCTAACTTTAGCATCTGCATCTTTATTTCCACTTTTTCCCTTCCCAATTCTTTCTTAATTCTATTGTGTCGTTTCTGTTCTTGTAGTTGCTTCACTGCGGTGTCCGCCATACATTCTAAAGAACGATTCATGCGACGTAAATATGTCACCACTTCTTCCATTTTACTAACTGCAGCTTCATTTTGGTTTTTGGTGTCCTCGTAAAATTGTTTTTGGAGAGCTATTTGTTTTTTGAGTAAGGATGAAGCGCTCTCCTTATCAGTTCTTTGTTGTTGTTGTTGTAACGGCAGAATTCTGTCAGTTCTTCTTTCTCTGCGCTGGCTGCTAACTCTGCTGCATGAAGGAATTTCATTTCGATCCTCCCAACATGCGGAAATGTCCATTTCGGAGGTTTGGGCAACGTCTTGTACCTGCGCACTATGGCCATAATCCCGCGCACCTCTTATTCCACTTGTACAAGTTTCCAACCCCAGACAGCTTGCGTTTTATATAGCACTTTCCTGTAACAAAACGTTTGAAGTTTTTAAAAAATGTATTTTCAATAGTACAATACCTTTCTCCATGTACTGGAGTCTTTTGATGGTGGACCAAGTGCATTTAGGACAATTGCAATTTCCTGCCAAAACTCCTTCACTTTTTCCTTCGGTCGCTGTTGGAAGCCCTGCGCAACATCTTTTTTGGTTGCCATTATATCAGCCAATTTTTCATATTGCTCTGGTGTTGTTGTTTTTGACCTACAAATATATCAAAAAACATCATTAAAGCACAAAAACTTAAATAAATCATGTTGGTGACTTTTAAAACTATCAACAACAAATTTTACTTACATTTTTGGGAAAATTATATTGTAAAAGTACACTAAAACCAAAATATAAGCGCTCTCCGCAAATAAAATTTCAACTTACAAAAAGGAACTACGATCGCAATGTAGAATACATAAAATTGGAAATTTCGAAGTTTGATCGAAACTAATCATAACGCAGAATACCAAAGTTGCCAAACTGAAAAAATTTCGATTCGAGTCGAAATGCAGAATAATCAGCGGTGTCTATTAAAATTCCAAATGTATTCTGGCAGTTAAGCAATTCTGTGTGGGATTCCACAACACACCGGATACCTGAAGTAATAATAACAAATCTTATTTTTGGTTTTTTGTAAAATCTGATTTTGTATAATAATCAAATCATATGCAGCTAGCGTTAAATTGGATTAAAACGCTATACGAAAGCGTATGTGTGAGTGAACATAAATTACCAATATTTAGCTGAATTCAATTGTATTAGAAACCAAATAAATAAACTGATGTAATTTTTTCAAAACATGTCGAATTCGATGAAGAACTAAAAGCATTTAACATTGCGTATATAATTTGATGGCTATACCTCGATTTTCAGCTGTTATTTGTTACTTCTAGTACGTTTATAAGGCAACTGGTCAGAAATTATTGGCATCTTTAAGTATATTTACCGTGCAATTCTGTACGGTGATACAGTATCAAGTCTCTAAATTTGATAGAGACAATTTTTGAGACTTGAGACGATTTTGCTATTCTGTAAGTGACAGTCACAAAATCTATTACATTTAATAATTCAGAGATGCTTTTAAACGTTGATGAAAATAAATATGTCGATAACAAAAATTAAATTTTCTATAACATAGTCAAAAAAGATAATTATCAATCAAAATAAAATTGTATGTTGACTTTGTTTCATAATATTTTCGAAATTTTTGTAAAATTGATTTATTATTAACCTTTTTGTGTTTGAGTTGCTTACAAAATATAAAAAAATTACAATCGATTAATATTAATAATGATCTCTGCTCAATATATTCAAAATGGCTGACAAGAGTTCTTTTTGGTTTTGTAACTTGCTAACTATCAGGTCTCACTTTTGGGGCAATATTTTGAGGCTAAAGCTAGAGACTTTTTAGTGAATAGTAACTAGTCACAAATTGCGATTTTACCACATAATCCGTGCGATTCTGTACTGTGATACAGTATCAAGTCTCTAAATTTGACAGAGACAATTTTTGAGACTTGAGACGATTTTGCTATTCTGTAGGTGATAGTCACAAACTCTATTACATTTCATTATTCAGAGATGTTTTTATACTTGAATTAAAATAAATATGTCGATAACAAATATTAAATTTTCTATAACATAGTCAAAAAACATAATTATCAATAAAAATAAAAACATATGTTGACTTTGTTTCATAATATTAACGAAATTTATGTAAAATTTATTTATTTTTAACCTTTTCGTGTTTGAGTTGCTTACAAAATATAAAAAAACGACAATCGATTAATATCTATGGTGATCTCTATTCAGACTGTTCAAAATGGCAGACAAAAGTTCTTTTTGGTTTTGTGACTTGCTAACTACCAAGTCTCAAATTTGAGGCAATATTTTGAGACTAAAGCTAGAGACTGTTTAGTGAATAGTAACTAGTCACAAGTTGAGATTTTACCACAAAATGTCTCAAATAGAGACTGGTTACAGAATCTCGCTAAATGTCTCAAATAGAGATTAGAGACTGCTTACAGAATCCCGCTATTAGTATGGCTACTGATCTCAGCATAGATAACAAAGCAAATAACATCTCTGATTCAACGTTTCTGAGAAGCACTACAGAAAAACGTGGAAAATAAAGGCGTCCACTGTACTTTAAAATTTACGTTGGTAAATTTTGTAGTAAATTGCACCTTTGTCGTGAAACAATCTATATTTTAATTCGCATAAATGTTTCAGATGCTTGAAATGCATTAAATCCTTCATAGTTCGATGAAATTGCGCTACGCCGCCTTATTGTGACGTAGTTCTTTGAGTTGAGAAGAAAAAATAGAAAAGCATGTAATTCGTAAACATTGAAACAATGAAATAAACTTAATATATTAGTTTTTGAAGACACAATTTGTAGTGAAATAAATAGAACAATGGATGTAATCATTGAATTCGCATTTACGCGGTCTTGATACCGTCAACAACTGCTTTACCAAGAGTAAAGTGTTTTATCAACATTGATACGGAAAGAACAGAGAGTGTACTGGATACATCAGATTCTGCGCTAGTTTCCTTCCTTGGCAGGCAAAAAATATATTCAGGGGTGTTGTGGAATCTGATAGTTGTCGGAATCAGAATTGAAACCGATCAAAAAAAGCAGT